AATGAACATACTTTTCAGAAGCCTGACATTTCTGTTTAAAATATACTTTTTTTAATTGATCTTATGTAATATTCTAATTCTAGACACTGAATTTTGGGTTTTCATTATCTGTAAGCCATAATCATCAAAATTTCAAAAGAAATAAAGGCTTGAAATATTTCACTCTGTGTCATGAATCTATATAATATATGGGTTTCACTTTCTGAAATGAGTGACAAAAAATATTGACCTTTTTCATGATATTCTAATTTTATTAGATGAACCTGTATATATCTTGTAATGCCACAGTAGCTGATGTCTGTCGTTTGCTTAAATCTGTTGATAGTCACAGCAATAAAATGAGCTTAATGCTGCAATTAACAGATCTGAAGTCATCAGCATAATGAATGAGGTGTAAACGGGCTATTATCATGAAATAAAGAGGATTTTCAGCATCTGATAATATTGATGAGCCTCAGACTATAAACACTCATTAAACAAGCCATTCAGGATCAGCAGCAGATCATCTCACTTTATTCTGAGTGTTTGCTGATAGAAACTGATTATTTGAGTCAGAATTTATGCTAAAAGCTTAGGAAATCGTTCTAATATGACAATTACTTCTCAAGTGATACAGAAAAAAATAGGCCCTAATAATATAGACACTGACAACTATATTTATTTATTGGCCCATATGAATCTAAATATAATTTGATTTTCTAATAACCAAAAGTTACTTTTAAAAGTAATGCATTACAATATTGTAGTAGATTTTTATTGGTTAAAATATGAATTGTTCGAGTGTAATCATTAGGAATATAGCCATTTAAATATCCAGTTATACTTCCATTATAATCCCATATGCCTGTGTGTAGAAACAGGTCTACGTGGCAGAATGTACAGACCTCAGATAAGAAACATCTGGAAAAACACAAGTGGGGGCTTTCTTTCTTTACCATAACAAAACTAGAGAGTGGGGGGGCTTTCTCTCTAGGGAGAATTGTATGCACAAAGGAACCATTCGATGTATGGAAAACTGTATGGGATACATACCCCATGCCTTAAAATCCAACCTGTATAAAAAGAGAGACAGAAAGACATTCTAGAGATGCTGCCCACTGCATCCTAAGTGCACACACACAGCAGTGAACACACACCCGGAGCAG